GTTTATAAATGGCGATTGTACAACTAATAAGAAGTTGTTTGAGCGACAAATGATTATTTTCCAACCAATAGAATTCTGCTCATTTAGTTTTACCTTACATAAAGAAATGAAGAACCTTTTGAAAGATTTAGCAACTTGTTTATTTTAGAAGCTAAAGGCATAGTAGCGTAAAATACTTAGAATAGATCCTTGTAAAAATAAAGTCCTAGTAGATTTTATAACGGATGGAATTATTGACAATCAAAGTCTCGTTTTAATAATTAAAGAAGACTATTCTTATTGCAACATAAGAGTCTGACTGGTAAACAAAAATTGTTATAGGGCCAAAGTCTGTATGGTAAACAGAAGCCTATTGATCTTTTTTTTTTTTAATGGTATAAGTCAGCAAACGAGCCGACGGATTACCTGATGGTAAGTAATCGGCGCCGCCCATGGACACCCGCAACACCAAAGGAGTTACGAGTGCGTTGCCGGCCTTTTGGGGATGGGGGTTGCGGATATAAGGATTGGGAAGGGATAGGGGAAGGGGAGGGATTGATCTTCCATTGCTACGGTTCTTTTCATGGTATTGGTCGGCTGACAAGCAGACGGATTACCTGATGGTAAGCAATCAACGCTGCCCATGGACACCCGCAACACTAAAAGAGTTACTAGTGCGTTGCCGGCCTTTTAGGAATAAAGGTTTCGGATTGGGCTTCCGGTAACCTTACTTACTAGGCGAAACACAACGCTGTGGTTGTTTCATGCCGGTTTTTTGTGAGGCCGTGGTATCACTCCGGTCGAGCCAACCCATTCGTGCCGATGCTTGGCTCTCCCACACTTAAAATAGAAGGTGATAGAAGTAGGTATAAGTAGAACTAAGGTTTTGGTTGAACTTCTTGCCTTATTTTTGGACTCCACTATCGCGGTTATGCCGTAACGTTGACGGCTCACAGTGAATCGGCCAAGAGAACGTCTTTGACATATAATTTTCTCAATACGTATTCGAGTTCCGTAAAGACTATGGTCTATCATTGTCTATTAAAAACTCTAGAATGTTCCACGACAAACGAAGAAGACGCGTCATTAATTATGTGTGTAGATATTATTAATGCATTCGTTACTGGACCGAGCAATAGAGCTTCGTATATGTTAATGAAATAAATTACGTAGCCTCTCAATTCTATGTTCTCCTTACATTATGTGTATGTTTTCATAGTATCTTAATCATTTATCAGCATAGCTAAGGTAAATTTATAGGCAAGGGGTAGTTTTCTTAGTTAATGACTGGTATTTGCTTGACAAATTGTGGAAAGAGCGCGTTGAGGGCGTGCGTTTCATCTGGCTAGTTGCAATGTGATTTTTTTCTAAGTTAGGACACCGCTGAACTTATAATTTATAATTTTGAAGTCGCTAATCTGCCTTGAGCAATTGTTGTGATTATTACTTAAACCTTATCCGTGTAAGAAGATGTCTTTGCTCAGCTATGGGTACGTACTAATAATGATACTTAACAAATTATTCCAGGTCTTGGCTTGACTTTGATGGTCTATTCTGGCTTCTCTGCTCAGCAGTCACAACCACTCAACCAATGATAAAGTAAAAGAAACTAAATTAACTTAAAATAAATAGAAAAACAATTCTTCAACAAACAAACTTACGAACCGCTGCTATCTTATGTAAATAATGGAAAAGTGTAAGTAATTTACTGGTGAAATAAAATGCTAGTACTGACGTTCACCAACAAGTTTCTAGCGTCGGGCATATTGGATGGCTGGAACGACAGGTTTCACCACTTTCTTATACCAGTATGGTATGATTAAATTGCACTGTGATTGCACACAAACTCTGTACTACGTAGATAGAGTATTCGGAACCACAATTATTCGAAGACTTGCAAATATCACTTTAATTTTAGTTCACGTAAACTTTTCAGTTTTTTATTGAGACATAGGTATTGCTGATAAACTGTCACTATTAAATTTGTTTGAAATTATTTTAAATCGGACGCATTTACGCATAAAGGAACCATCCCACAGTTTAGTCAAAAATGAACTGAAAATGCCAAATTAATCATTAGAGTCATTTTGGTATTTTCCAAAATATGGTAATTTGACCTTTTTTTCATATGGGGTACTAACCAACATTTATGACGGATTTTTATTTAAATTCCGCAAAAATCCCTATTAATTAATAACTCCAATAATAAATAAATCCTATAAATAAATCCATACGAAATTAAAACCGGTCCACAACTTATAACTTAAAATGGATCAAACAACACTTGGATCGATTTCCAAATCAAAAAATACCATTTAAACTTTAAGCTGTATTGTATCAAAAGTGTCACTTTGAGGACTGGTTTCTTTTTGCATAACTACGTCCGGTAAGTTATGACTATTTCATTTATCAACAAATTATTGAGAAAAACATATCCGAAGTCGCACTGTCAATAAAACCTATCGTCAACATTCGATCTTATATTTTCTATGACTTAAGTATCGAACAATTAAGACAATTATATCTTAAGTGCTTATAATTATCATAACAAGTACTTCTTTTCTTCTTCTCTGATCATGAGTACCCACACAAGTTCTGGGTATTATACAAATTGTGTATTTGTAGAGTCTTAATTGAAGTTTATCAGGGTTTTTGTGACTCTAATCTGAACGAAAATGTTAACAGCTATGTAGGAGAGTGTAAAGGAAATATATTTCCATTTTTAACAATGCTTTTGAAGACTATAAGATTTGATGATAGCCAGCCAATAGTAGTCAGATATTTTAGTGGTAACAATAAAAAGTAACAAAAAGACTGAAAGAGAGAGAGAGAGAGAGAGAGAGAGAGAGAGAGAGAGAGAGAGAGAGAGAGAGAGAGAGAGAGAGAGAGAGAGAGAGAGAGAGAGAACTACTCACAAAGAGCGTGTGTTTGAATATAATTTTCCTCAGTTTTACTGAACACGGAAAATTATTTAATTATTATAAAAAAAGTGTATGAATTATAGAGTATGCAATTAAAATGACGTGACGTGAATGACTGTTAGTTATTACTTGTAAATAATAAAAGTATAGAATTTTTTTCTTTTATTACAGTTTTGAAGTCTTTAGTGTTTGAATCATATACGAACTATCTCGCCCCAGTAGCTTCATCTACTCGGTGTTTTTCAATTTTCCTGTTTATTTTCTTTTAATGATAATGTATGTAAGTAGTAAGAGATCTGCATTTGTACCCGATAAGATATGGCAAACAATGTAACTTGTTAGAAACATCTGTCTACTCGAACAGAGAGAAAAAAAAGCCTACACATTTATTAAGAAACATTCATGTAACAATCAAACTGAATTGTCAATAATTTTGCCACCGTAGTCTTTATAAAAAATAATACTTAACGCATTTTGGCGCCATTACTTTTAAAACACCTGCATATCTTTTTTAAAATGGTTTTTGTCTCTTGTGAAGTATAATTAGTTTTCTTTATTAGCACTATTGTAAACAGAAGTCATTTGTTTAAGATATTTACGCTAGATATTTGCAGTACAAATATTTGTAAGCATACAAACACACCTACACATGTATGTATGTATATGTAGCTATTCTAATCTATTTGCTTTCTAAATATAACTTATGTTGTATGAAAGGACATGTGACAGAGATTTGTTGAAAATATTATCTTATTTCGGACTATTGGGTTGGTTTTATGGTCAGTGGTCAATAGCTGGGTCTTCTAGACATTAATTAACATCTGCGTAGTATTATTTTGGTCACTTGGTGTTACGGTTGGTGGTAAGTTGCTGCAGATTCTTTTAGATCTTTAACATCTAAGTAGTAAAATTATTGGTCTCTTTTTATGTCACTTCACCAATTCACCCTGAAATATGCTGTGTCATGTTTAAAACTAGGTAGGTACTTGTATATAAAAACTAGATGTTCTGATTGTTCATTTGTCTAAACATCGAAATCGATGGTGCTGGTTCCGAGATCCTGAGAATATGTTGTGAGTATGTGTGAGTATCCACAGACTATGTGTGATGTTTAAATGTAGAAGATTTTGCAATGGTAGGTATGAATAAAGAATTCTTTTAGGTAAGTATACCTTTGACGACCGTTTTGGGGAAAAGTGTTTGATGTGTTTTTTTCTCAGTCATACTGATTACGATAGCCGTAAGCCATAGCATCGGCCGGTAATCTCTGTTTGTCACGATCTTATTAAATGTGATAAATGGATCACATGGTTTTTTCGTCAAAGTCAAATCAACTGCATTTATCATTTATTTATTTAGGTATTTAATAAGATAACAAACGGGTCAGGATACGCCAATTGTCAAACATTACAATATTATTTACCGAACAGATCAAAGATGGACGTAAGCCGAACGAAATCCTTTGTTTGGTGTTCGTTAAAATACAAAATATCGTTGTGAAAAAGTTTTGTTGCCCTCTGTTTAGTGTTATTAGCGTGTACAATATTATGGAAACAGTTTCATATGCGGGCACATTGAGATCATAAGTCGGCAGCGAGACATTTGGTAGTCCAAATTCGACACTACAGCCACAGTCAGTAGTCGATCACTTTAATCAAGATTATGAAGTCATGTGTTTCAGACGTCTATTAGCTATGCCAACAATTGAACCAACATTTCTTCACCAACAGCAAATGTTTGTCAATAATACAATGTTCGATTGTATTATAATTTGTGGTACATCACTCGCGTGCTGTGGTCTTGTTAACAACCGTATTACATGGAAGCGTTAATTTGATTGTTTTGTCTACAATTCTTAACCAAGCGTCGGTACGTCAGAATCACGAGGACCGCGGAGAATCATTCCGTTTACTAGTACACAAGTAGGTACTTACCTACTATAAGTAACTACATGAGTTGATATTTATTGCCTTGCAAATTAATTCATAGTTTTAAATTCGCGCATTAATATTTATTACTATGTATAAACACGTACATGCATTAATTTTTCCCTTTAATATTACTTCTATGGGACAAAGATGTGTAATAAATAAAACTTACCGATGTAGCAGATCGTGATGTTCTCCCGGGGTCGCCGGTAACTTGCAGGTGCAGCTTCACAGCCTCCACGCCGGATCTCTTGGTGCGCTCGCGAGCCGCGGCAGCTGATTCCGCGGCTCCAATAGAGTTCGCGTGCTTTTTCCCGCTCCGCGACACTTCCTGCTTCACTCCCTTCTTATCCTGCTTTCCTCGAAAATCTTGTTTAGCTCGACGATCGCGCGTCTTCATTTTAGAATTTTACCAAAGTTCATTCTAACGTTTCACTCAATCATTGACCGATATGCTCACTAACGTCGAACGCAATCCAATCGGAAGCTGGGTCGAGATAAGATATTTATGTTGAAGGTGAAAGATCCTAGATAAAAAATGTTACACAAATCAGGTGGTTGGATACGTGACAGAGAAGGTTCTTTATGTTAGCACCTCGAGGTGGTCACGTAGAGTCCTTGAACCGGCGCGAGAGCTTGGTGTCGGCGCGGTGGTGACGAGCAGACGTGTGTTTCAGTATTTACGTTGCCAAGATTAAGTTGTGAAGCGTGGAGCAGTGTACGGGCGTGCGCCGGGGTCCGCTCGGACTGGCGCGGCCGCAGCGAGCGCGCGCCGCACTCCTGCCTCTAGCTTGTTTGATCTCCGTCTCTTAATTAAAGGGTTCTCGTACGACACTATTAGATGAGACGCTATCACAACATCATTAACACTAATGCACAACACAATTATTCTAGTTGACCTAGTAATCAAAGTACATCTTCTATTTAGTCAACTTTTTTTTAATTGTGACGATTCAAGTACGAATCTTACATTCTAGTTCTTTCCATACTTGACAAAAACCTGCTTACCCTTATTAGTAAGTAAGTTAAATACTCTGCCTAAGCGCCTAAGTAAATTAGTGACTAATGCTTACAAATATTTCTCAGAAATAAAAAACGATTAGCGGCTACCGATCTATGCACTTGAAGGTGTGCTTACAAACTAGTTTTATTTTTATCAGAAATGAAAAATTCATTAAACCTCCGGAAAATCATTTTTACGCGCAAGTGTCGCCATCTTGTAAGAGTCGTTCACAACTACATATGAACAGAAGTTTTGTGGTGTCGCGAAACAACGTCTCCCAACTGAAAATGTACTAGTTAGTTCATGAAAATGGTAGCAGATGGCGCTACTGTTAACTTAATTTACTTTCATTTAAAGAAAACTGACAAAAGTTAATATCAACTTTCAAGGCTGGGATATATTGAAATTGCTTGAAAAAATATGTTACAATTTCTGATTTGCTCGTTTTTTTTAAATTCTTTTTACGCGATCAATATGAAAATCGTAGTCTACATTTCGACTAAACGGTCGGTAGTCAACGTTCATTATCGTATCAAAAAAAAAAAAAAAATTATATGTTTGCCCACTACAGTGAACTGGCCTTGCTTATTGCCCATCATAAGATATAATCGTAGGCTTAAAAAAATACCTTAATTTTTCTAAAAACTTTTAGGTGCTTACTTTTTAAGATTTCTTCAGTTGATGAAAATTAAAACACAAAATGCAATATTTTCATATTAATTTATTTTTTGACTAATCTCACTTACAAGATATCGAACTCAGATATATTTTACTAAATACCTAAAAAGATACAGAAAAAGGAATGTATAAATGAGTTGACAAGGAGTAATTCAGGATGCTAATATTTTTTATTGAAATTCAGATAATAGATATAAAAATAAATACGTAGGTACCTACTCGGTTTTTAACATGACATATTTTATGCTTTCTTCGTTCTTTTTAAACTAATGCAATTGTTTCAGAGTGTACAACCAGCAACGTGTTACAAATACATGCAAATATTTCGCATTCTTCTATAGACAACCTAAGTATACACTAAAGTTATCAGCCAAACTCAGAGTAATTTCATATCTTCCTTAATTTTTTTGGGAATAACATACATATATAACCTTCTTTCAAAAGATTTATTTATGGTTTAGTTGGAATAACTTGGTTGGACTTTGAATCATTTATTATACGTTTTATACAATACCTATTATTTCACGTGAGTAAGTCTCTTTGAATATCTGCCTGTGTTAAAAGAAAACGATTTACTCACGTGAATTAACAGTGTCAAACGGGACGATCTCGCTGCGCGATGCTCGTCGCTCATGAGTAAGTGTCCGAGTAAGATTCACGTGAGTAAGTCGTTATTAATCATACATTTTACAAGTCTTACAATCATTGCTATACAGAAATAGTTTTAATATCTCTGAGTAAAGCGGTCTGTCTTTTAAATTACATTACTCATACTATGAACTTTGCTTCGTACATTTAGTCTCTTTACTGTTTACATAGGGAGAATGAAGGAGACAATATATTTACAGCCAGCTTCACAGATACTTCGTTATACATATATTGGTAGATGTAATTACGTACTTTGGATATATATGTAATTATAAGTAGATAGTTTCGTAAGGACTGTACAACTGTTCGTAGGTATATACTTACCTAGAAGAAATGAGATATTTTATGTAGGTATTATTATATGAATAAACTAATATCTAATATCTACGACTAAGTATGGCGGGTTTCGTTCCTAGAATCTAGTCCAACATTTATATAATTAGCTGTTATATTAACATACTAGCTACTCTCGCGCGGTTTGGCCTCCTGCTTGGCTCCTATTGATTGTAGAGGGATATTTTACCTAATAATCAATTTAACACAAAGAGAATCATTAAATTCGAACCAGTAGTTTCGGAGATTAGCACATTCAAATAAACAAACTCTTTAGATGTATAGATAAAAATAATGTTCGACAAAAGGTCTGAGGTCGCTTCTTATCATTCCTGGCCACACAGATGACCAGCGATTTGGCACTGAAAAGTAATACTACATCATACAATCAATAATTTTACAAACTATTCAAATAAAATAAATAAACCTATGTTTAAAATGAGATCCTTTCGTTGCATGTCGATTGTTAAGATTCGGATTCTGAAACAAGAGAAAAAAAAACAAATTAGAGAAATACACAAGTTCAGTAAAAAAATTGAGATTTCTTCTAATACGTGATTTTAATAATTATATTGCTTTAGGCACTAGTAATATGAATAATATCCCAGACATATGAATTGCTTGATTAGAGGATAGAACGATAATCACAGGGGATTGATAACTAAAAGGTATCTTCTATACCAAAATGAGAAAATCGGTTTATTTTACGCCTGTCATGGAGATGAACTATAGCTGTACTTATGTATAATTTTCACCAAAAATTGTATTTCAATAATCAAGTACCTATACCTAAAACATACCTGTTTTAATAACAGTTAATTCAGTGCTGCAGGTGTGAGCCTTAAAGTCTTAAGAAAGTTAGAAAACCTAATTCAATTTCTATAGTTACACATCCAGTCTGAACTGAAGCTAAAGTTAGCCTGCAGGAGCTGGCCATACCGTAGCTATTAATTGGTAGCCTAAGAAGCTTACTGAATTTCTATGGATTAAATACTAAGAAAACGATACGAGTTTGATCGAGAAATAGCTAGGCTAAAGCTGAAGAAGCCAGTAGTAATACTTTTAAAAATGTTTCTTAAAGCTTTCATTTTAGCACTGAAGTTTGTTTCTTTGCCATAGATATCTAACTTGTTTATTTATTTATTGGTTTATTATCAAAGAGGATAAAACCACTCCTCTATGTTTATTATAGACTCTATTATAAACTACACAAATATAAATTTTATATGAATAGAATGTACATTAGGCGGTCTTTAGCACAGGGCGACTCCTAACAGAAATTCTTGCATGGAACCGAAATATGGTAAGTTATTTACTTTGCTAAAAAGTATCCTACTAATTACTGCTTTCCTGGTCTAATGGCTGAGTACCTAAGTACGGCTTATTGAATGATTAACGTTTCTCATTTCTCAGATTCTACGTAAATATAGTCTGATCTGTAAATTGGTCAAACTTATGTAATTTTTATTTGTTTCACGAATTCCCTAATTATTGTATCAATTTTTATGTGTGTAGTTTTTAATTCACATCCTTGTAAAAATGTATATTAGTATATTACAGTAAAACGCGATAATTTAAACTTTTAAGTTTGCAATAATTCTAAAGTGTTCGCTGGCAGTTACCCAACTAGCAATTTTACGGTTTTCCTTAACTTTCATTACTTATTATTAAATAAACGTTATTACAGTGATTAACCTAATGATCGGATTTATAAAACTGTGAACTGTTTCACTTAAATAAAATAAAAAGTAGTGTTAATGTTTTTTTAGGTATAATATTTTTACGTAATTTGGATTACATTTAAGAAAAAATGTTGACACACTACATAGATAATAGCTATAGTAGTTATATCAGTTTTTACAGAAGTAGTTAGGTTTCTTCCTTTTGCTTTTTGGATTTTTCATTATCAAAACCATTTTTCCTTCTGTAATTATAAATCGCCTTATAGCTTACCAATAGTTACCCAATTTGTAATTCATCCATCTTTATTTTCTAACCAAATAATTTGGATGACGATCCCAATACATATATAGGATTCGAATAGTTTATATGATTCTTGTGAACTCCGTACGTGTACGATCTAAAAGTATATTTTTGAACTTGATAGAACTATTCTTGGGAAAGGTTAAAGGCTATTTAAAGTCAAAATGTGTGACCTTTTAGAATAGATAACGAGAGAAGGGTTTCGCTAGGAAAGATACCATTTCAACTTCTTTACATCTAAAAATAGTTTATACTGATTTATCTACGTTAGAATGTACTGAGGTAAGGTACATTCTTCTGGTTATAATAACATCCACATTTCATCATCATCATCATCAGCCTATCAGTGCCCGCTGGTCAACAGTAAGCCCCGCCCACTCACAGAAGATTAAAGCATTATTTATCACGCTTGCTCAAGGTGGATTGGTGATTTCAAACCTTATTAGTAGAAATCATAAGATCAGATTTCAATCGATGTTTTCCTTCATCCTGTGTGAGCTGTGTCTAAGTAATCTTTACATATTGTATGACTCGGAAAAAGTCACATTGGCACTTCCCACGTCTTGAATCCTGATGAGGAGCCTCATGCATGAGAAGCGGCCTTTTACATGGAATAGGACAACGAAATTTAAAGTTTCTTACAACTCACCAAACTATGGAATATATACCACGTATTTTTTTCTTATAAAGTAGTTCCTACCTAAATATAACTATAGCAGAATTATAATTACACAAATATCTTACCGTTTTCACATTTTTTGTGTTTCTCCTTCAGTAAAATTGGACCTAAATGGTTCGTTAGTAGGTAGCCAATAGGCGTCGTGATTAATATCGCTTGCACGATGAGTTTCATGATGTACTCCGCGTACTCCATCTGTACTTCATTATGGTCACCGCGAGCTATGAAAGCGTTTATCGCTACTGGACACAACACCGCCTGGAACAAGACATATGCAATAAATATATTGAGTAATTTTATTGTTTGACGTTCAAAAGTGCCTGTAGGGGTCTAATTGGAATAAATGATTTTTGACTTTTGAGTATTCAGTATATGTAGGTACACGGTTATTATCTTGTTTCACTTATATTCACAGTTATATTAGTGCGGGACAGCCAAGACACGAATTGGTTGACTCGATTTGAGTGATACTACAGCGTTACAGAAAACCCGCGTGAAACAAATTCAGCGTTGTGTTAAGATGCGTAAGTGACATTACCGAAGACCCAAAACTTCCCCTATCCCTCCCCTCCCCTTTCCCTAAATCTTCGGAATCCTAATACCAAAAAAGTCGGCAGCGCACTCGTAATTCCTCTGGTGCTACGAGTGGACATGGGCGGTGCAGATTGCTAACCATCAGGTAAACTGCCTGCTCCTTTGCCGACCTATCACATAAAAAATCTATAAGACTATATTATTAATCACTAAATGAGTAGCTAATGTCGAAAAAGCTAAACCGATTTTATTTTTGTTTTTGGATTGCATTGAGTAGGATAGAGAAGGGTAAAGCTAGAACAAAACCGTGGGGAAAAACTAGTATATGCCACTTATAGTGGCTGTAACTCATAGCTCACACACACACACATATATTTGAAACAACAATTTGTCGATCACACAAAGAATTCTTTCGCGGTACATATGATTATACACGACAGCCGGTTACACAGCCACCACGCCTACGAAATTATGACTGTAATCTCTATAACACAGATATATAAGTACAAAACTGGTAATTTAGTTATAGGTATAGGATTTGTTTAGAACATAATCAAGTAGTACGTAGTAAGTAGTAATCTAAGTAGACTATAGGTAAATAGAGCTGCTCAACTTTTATTTCTCAAGTTTAATTTAATTTAAAAGTTCAACACTGAAGTACTTTTCACTTTAAATAACCACAACTAAACACTTGACTCTAACTTATTCACTTAGCAAGTCTTGGAGCGAAGACTAGAAATGACATCAAGAGTCATTCCCAAAATTATTTACGTTTACGTACTTAGATATGATCAAAGGTCAGTGAGGCTGAGAAGTTTGTGCGAAAGCTTGAGAAGGAATTTAAATCCATTAGAAAGTAAGGATTAACTGGAAGCGATGTCCCCACTCACCGTTCATTATCCAAAACAATATTTAGACAAGATTCAACGTTTACTTTAACCTTCTTAGTCGCGATGCCTCGAAAGGTTTATTAACCTTTTATTTATAAATGGATCTTTGGATTTGGAGACAGGTAACAATATTATTTTGTCATTTATAGATACTTGTAGTTAAGGGAGATGTTGAAAGAAAACAGTTTGTTTATATTATAAACACAATAGGTTAGTGAGCAAGATTATTTTAAAGGGGGGAAAATCATCCAATTTCTTCTCCCGCCCTAAGTGGGGCGAGAGTAACGCAGACGTAAGATCTAGACGTAAGACCTAGATCCTAATATCCTACTTACTAGAAATTTTAAAATGTGGTAGTATACATATATGGATGAATGTTAGTTACTCTTCCACGTAAAAACATCTAAGCGGATCTGCATGGTCACAGTTGGCACAGAGGTAGATTCTATAGTCTGGGATAATACATAACTTGGTTCCGAGGATGAAACCTACAGAGATAGATTTTTTTCTTAAAATAACGTTGCCCTAAATTAGGATTTTCTCCTGTGTTGTGGATGCGGTTAGAAACATATAATTTCACATACACATGACACCCCGACCCAGGACAACAATTTGTGGATCACACAAAGAGTTGTTCCGTGCGGGAATCGAATCCACGACACGTTGCACGGCAGCCAGTTACCCAGCCACCGCACCAATAGTGCAGTCAGATTATATATATGTATGTATAGTCAGGTATAACACATAGGCTACTTTTTCCTATGTGCTATGTGCGAAGCCGCTGGACGAAACTAGTTTGCCATATTTACGTGAAAACTACACTTAGATTCTTACTTATGATTTACTTTTATCATTTAATTGTCTTATTTGTATATGAACATACCTCTACAATGGACTTCGGTACCCAAGTGCAGCACACAAATAGTCTCTCTCGTACTGTTAAAGTAGTGCACACTAGGTAAGCTACGATCAGCCTGACTGCCAGACACACGAACAGTATGCCGAAACCAACCAGCATCAGCTTTGATATGGATGGGTGTATCTGAAACCAATCCGTACATAGAATTGTACTTTATGTAACTCGCTTATTAAAACTATAGGTACCTATTAATAAAGCGATAGCATAATTTTCTCTTGGCAATTTAATTGGGTATTTAAACAGCTAGCTAACCTAAGGCTGATATTCCAGTCGGAAAATGTAATTGTACTGTGTTGGATTTAAGCATAAAACCTAATATATTGAGCTTGGTAGCAAGCGAGTATTTAAAAGCGCTGTAACTGTGTAGAAGAGCCATGCTTTAAGTATAGGAGAACCATGCTTCGACACGAATGGGTGGCTGACCGGAATGATACCACGGCGTTACACAACAAAGGCGTGAAACAACCACAGCGTGGTATTTCACCGTATGAGTAAGATTACCGGAAGCCTGATCTATCCTTCCCCAATCACCAAATCTCCACAAACCTAATCCCCCAAAGGTCAGCAACGCATTCGTCACTCATCCGTTGATGCGGGTGTCCATGGGCGGCACTAATAGCTTACCATCGGGTCATCCGAATGCTCGATGGCCGTCCTATCACATAAAAAAACTGCTACAATGGTTGAGTGATAAACGTAACTATTGGAATAATTTTAGTCAGACAATAAAACATTAAATGCTATTAAAGTTCGAATAAATAATTTTCCTTCTTGAGACTTCAATAGGGTTTGAATTTGTGTATCGCTGCCAATATATTTAATTGCTTTTATCAAAAACCTATACAATATTCGAAATGAGTATTTTATTTGTGACGTATCAACAAAATATCAATTTTTGTCCCAATAAAACGGTTGATTTACGATTTCACTCAAATGATATCTTCAAATAATCGTTGCAGTCACGTCTTATTGATAAAAACAATATTATAATATAATATAAATAGTTTTACGATATTGAGATATTTTAGCCAAGTAATAAATAAAAATATAAGGAAAATATCTCTGGTTAACTAATTAGAATAAGCTGATTAAATGAAAAATGAAGACGACGCTACACTTAACAACTTAAACATACTTACACCAATAAGAAACTATAAAATTTAAATACTAAAGTTCTTTAGAGTTAATGAACAATAACCTTGGTGTTTTACGATAATTATTTGTTTCTGTTTTTAAATATATATTTTTGTTTGACAAAACAAAGGAGAGAAAGGAGGTTTTATTTGAATTTAAATACGGTGAAATAATGATAAAGGACATTGCTCTGCGTCCCTTCGGTGTTGACCCTGAAGCCAAGAGCATCGGAAGATTATCTCTATCATTAGAAAACTTCTATACCATCTTATTTTATAACGGAATAGCTGCAGTATACATTTTAAAAAAAAAAAACTGATTTTGAGGTCTGTAAGTGCAAAATTAAAATACATTGAGATTATTTAAATGTAATGTTATTATTTGCGTAAAATCTTATAAAATGTACATTTTCGAATACAGCTAGTCTATGAAAAAAATATTGGCAACTAATAGGTATAATATAATATATGCGATTAATACTTTTGAAGCATATTCTAATGTAAGTAAACGTAAGTAGGTACTTTGGTATATACTTACAACGAAGAAGGTTCCTGTGAAGGCAAAGAGAGCCGGCTCGACAGATGACCACATAATGCGGTATGCTGTGGCAGCTGGATTGTTGTTCAGTTTCCAGCCAGATTTCGCCCAGTAGTGTGCTGCCGTCGCATTACAGGCTAATACTGCTATACCACCTGCAGAATTTTATAACAATAATTACTATATTATTGATCACTAGCTTTTGCCCGCGACTCCGTTCGCGTGGAATAGTGACTTCCAGCAGATTTTTGGTATGTCCTTTCTCGAGTTTCAGACTATGTTTGTACCAAATTTCACAGAAATAGGTTAAGTAGTTTAGGCGTGAAGAAAAGACAGACAGATAGACAGACATACAGAATTACAGAGTTACTTTCGCATTTATAATATCAGTTTGGATTAATAATAATCATCATCATCATTAGTTGGAAGATATCCACTGCTGAACAATGGAGCAGATCTAAGAGAAAAATCTTCAGTTCTCCACCTTGAACGACAATTTGCCACTTGCATTCATTGGCTAGCGGAAGGCCTGTCTTCCGGTCCGTAGTCGCCGGTCGAGCACTTTCGTGACATCAGCTGTCAGCTTTTCGAGCGATGTGGCTTGCTCATTGCCACTCGTTACGAGCACCTTATCGGTAATTAAGGTTTGACCATATTCTTTGATAACATCACCTTAATAATACTCCTCCCTCGTTCTACATCCAACCACTATACCTATATTTCATATTATGTTGCCTGATAATAATTATTAATTCATCTTGCTTAAACAATTATTATCATGCCTATTTGCTCTTTCCAATAATTAAGATAGTGATTGTTATTTTTTTTGTCATTTATTATTTATTCATTTGTTTTATTTTTTAATTTTTTCCGGCCATTGTAATTTGGAGATACGGACTGAATATGTGTATCAATATTTTTATGTATATTTTTTCGGAGTTAACTAGACTTCCGATTCCGATTGAAATCGCCAACCCGCATTGAGCAAGCGTGGTGATTAATGCTCAAACCTTCCCCGTGTGAGAAGAGGCCTTTGCTCAGCAGTGGGCATGATGATATACTTCCGATAATTTAATAAGAGTACTACTACAAAAAAAAGTACATGGAAAGTGTTTCGTGTATGTTAAGAAAGGGTGCCTTCTTTAACATAATGTACAGTAATAATTGAATGAACTATGAAGTTTTTTCAGCGTAAATAATAGGAAAATGGATGCAAGATTCTCTTCAATTAAGAATGATTAGTGATGATATGAAATAATTATCACAGGTAGCAATGAGGTAGTTTACATAATTGATAATAGCTATCATTGCTTGCTAAAGTTGTTATCACGATAAAGCGTACTAGTGCACACATTGATGACTCACTCTCAGGTGACTTTTTGGCAAGTAAACGTAAATATTGTCCATTGTAAACTAACTATTGAATGTTGATTCACCTGTATTTATCCTACTAATATTATAAATATGAAAGTTTGTGAGAATGAATGGATGTTTGTTTGTTATTCTTACATGATTTGGTTGAAATTTGGTATGTAGAATTCTATATATGTGATAGGACAAATAGGATTTTCATCAACATACCACGCGAGCAAAGCCGCGGGCGAAAGCTAGTAGTAGAATAAACTGAACTAAATATCAAAATTGTGTTTACTTTAAATGTAAGAGAAACCACGTCGAGTATTTTCCTAAAACATTATTGCAGTCTTCTTGTGATATCGAATCACTGGAATGAAAGAAGCTGCAGATCGTGCATGGGAAAAGCCAGGTGTTATGCAGAAACCGAGGAAGGAAGAAGCAGACATCTTAACTCGAACGAACGAATTATTTTACATATACTAATATTATAAAGAGGTAAAATTTGTAAGATTGTAAGTATGTAGGGGGTAATATTTGGAACTGCTGCCGCGCGGGTCGGATTGCCTTTCACTGATAGATACTGATAGCAACAATCTTCCTGAGTGCTAAAGGCTATAAAACATCACGCTAAATGAAGCCGAGCAGCGGGTAAAACCGCGTGAGAGTAGCTAGTATAATATATTTTTAAATAAAATATAAAACTATTTAAGAAATTATTTTACCAGTTAAAAATGTAAAAAGGCAAATAAAGAAGGATTTTAAAGCGGCAAGTGTTATTATTACAAGAAAACAAATGACATTCTACCAGACTCTTGAGTTGCACAATATGCAAAAAACTTATCTCTTAACATTACAAAATGCAAGGCGAAATAGCTAAATAAATTTTGGTACAAATTGGCACGAGGATAGAATATCATCTGGACTTTAATATACGAATCGTAGAAAAATATACGACTCAAGTGTAAAAGAATTTTCATGCGACCGAAGTAACTGGGATATTTTAAATATTTGCTGATCTGTCTTGTGAAACGTACTACATTTTGGCTTTACTTGACTTTTCAGTTATTTTGAGCTAAAACCACGCTGTATACTCTTATCAGACACGCGAACGCTTTTCAGTCAGCTACGGTAGACATGTAACCTTTTCACATAGTTTGTAGGTAGAAAGTAACATTTTCGGTAAACTTATTTAGTGCCAAGTTAGAGCGGGAAATATTTACGTAGTACTTATATTAATTTAATTTGCTATATACAACAAGTGTGGGAGAGCTAAGCTGTGGCATGAATGGGTCGGCTCGACCGGAGTGATACCACGGCCTTACAGAAAACCGGCGTGAAACAACCACACCGTAGTGTTTCGCTGAGTAAGTGAGGTTACCGGAGGCCCAATCCCTCGCCCTTTCCACATTTCTCCCCAATCCTTAAATATCTGAAACCCTTATCCTTAAAAGTCCGCGCAGTTGTACCTCCTTTGGTGTTGCGGGAGTCCATGGGCGGCGCCGATTGCTTACCATCAGGCAATCCGTCTACAAATATATAATATCATATTTGTATAATATCCGTATTAATCAAGGTCTCAAATTGTATTAGCGATCCTAGATCATAATACGTCATTAGCTAGTTCAAGCCTTCATTTTGTGGATGCGGAATTAGAATTTCATAGTGGTACGACAAAGACAGTTAGTGATACATATTGCGTCACTGTCGTATTAAATTATAAGATATGTATATTGTGTATGTAAATGTGAATACTAATATAATATTGAAACTGTAGCTTTACAATGGCATTAATTAATCATTACACAAAATTTGTAAAATACATCAATACACAACTTAACCTTTCTCAAAAGACAAAGTCCGTGTATAAACTTAAAACGGTATCTGGCAGGTATCATCATGGATCTTTTGATTTTTTTAATGCAAAAACAGCTTTATATGTCCAGGTTCAAGTGATTTATACTAATTAGTGCATTCACTGATGATGCTGTAAATCTAAAATTTTTATTTAATGGTTTGGGCTTCATTTCATTGCTTGATGCGATTGTGTCATGTATGTGAAAAAGAGTGAATATGGAGTTCCTTGTTCCTCTCCATCGGAATTTGCACCTTGGATCGAGAGGACTGACCGCGAGACTGTCATTTTTTATTTTAAAATCTTTGTTTGACGTTCAAATAAATGATTTGATTTTGACTTTGATTATATATAGTTAACATTGATAATGATTTTCATTGATTATAGGTTTGCATCATTGTAAAACAAACCTAATTTCTTAAAGAATGAAGATACTAAATGGCTAGTTTTATTTGGTGTTATGTGACCTCTTTAGAGTATAGTTATGTCTCGCACGTGGTTATATTGTTGTGAACGTGCAAAAATGTTTTGTTGCTCAAGTGACCTACAGGCTGTGGAATTCCTTGTGAGTTTTTCAGTAGATTTTTGGCAACACGCGGATTTTATCTATTTTGTAAATAGCAACAGGTCCGTCTCTATTATGCAGATTTGCGTTTTTGTTGGTTTTGGAGTTGACTATGACTAGGAAATGAAAGGTATTTCCCCTTGCGATAGATTTTGAATAAGTTTTGTAAATTATTATGGTGAAAAATCTCAATTTGTTATCCACCTCCATACTAAGTTATTTACATCTAATACTAGATCATCAAAAACAATTCTACTTACGTACATATAAATAAAAAACCAAACCAACCTGTACCACCCCATCCGAACTGTGACGTTATGAAGAGAGCACAGAAGCCACCGACGACGACGTACAGCACTCTTAGCTCCGTGACGTAAACGTCTCGGGAGTGGGGGAGGAACTTGGCAAGGCTGCCCCACATGACGCCCACAGCTGCACCCAGGAACAGCGCACACGCCGCCTGCAGACAACTTCGGCTTACACTTGAAATTCTCCCAAACTTCGTGTTGCAACTTTGTGCCCCATGCAGAGTATTGGTAGACAGACGTTTTTAGGGTTAGTTCTATTGAAGATATTATTATGATTTTAGGTTTAGTAATCATGTTTATTTTACCAAACAAAATAAACGTGTTTATGATGTACTTTATTACTAATTAATTTTAGAGAAGATTAAGTCTAGAGAAGGTTGAAATTTATTTTATCACAGTTCCTTATTATTTTTATGTACAATCATCTAACTGATGCTCAAATATTAATGTATAGGCTTTTAAATAAAATTTATATACAGATTCAGTAAATAACCTTCAATTAAAAGTAAAAATAAGCAATAACCCAAAAATGTAATTACACTCACCCGTATATAACGATATGCATCATCGCCTTCATACATGATAAAACTATGGATGACCCCAGACACGCCAACACTGAGGGCGGTGTCCGTTCCACCCGCTGTACAGATTAGTTGCGGCCAGTTTTGACCCAGGTTTTTCCCTGCAGTTAGTTTAACTACCGTCGGCATTAGCACTGGACATGACACGGAAGCGTAGATCGACCCTAGAAGGAAACCTGCGAAAAGAGGTTACTCTGAATAATAATTATAGATTCTTGTTACCTTTAAAGTACATTACGTTAAATCACGTCTTCCAATGTTCTAAATTATAATACAAGTATGATTTTTCACGTAAAATCTTGTAGAAGGTAGGTACTGTTGAATCGTGCCTTGACATTTTTTCTTTTCATCGATAAATAATTGCATGGAAGCGTAAACGTTTACAGTGTCAAGCTTCAGTGAACACTGTTAATATTATTCAGCAAATATAATTTACTTATGCAAATGGACGGAATGTTTATCATTTCATATTTTGCGCCCTCGCACGTACGATAAAAATTCAATATGATTAAATCATTACACTATCGACGTATGTGTCCATGTTCGTGTATGCCGAAATACGTACATACGGGCTTGGCAAATAAGAGCTGGAAAGTAAAACAAAAAGTCGCTGTTAGAAACTTTTTCGCTTTGATGCTTTGTCCGGAAAATCGGGACGTGTAGCTCGTAATTACAGGTGTGCGCACGCAGAGCCCGGGTAGCTGTGTACGCGGCGCAGCGGCGTGATGGCTGCGTTCTTGTGGCGGCTGGAGCGCGTCTCAATGGTGCGCTCTATGCTCCACGTACCACGTCATGCGGCGAAAATGCATTCAAATCTTTTGCAATACGAGTTCCGCACCAGAATTTATTGAATTGGCTTTGTACCGCGCACACACCGCGCTCCATTGTGTTCGGCGTTCGTGACAAATTTTATTTTATTACACGTTTTGAGGTGTTTCGCGTTTTATCGAATGTTAGTCCGTGGTTTTTGCAGGATCCAGTAGATTTTCATTTGTGTTTCGCATAGGCTTGCGGCGAGCTAATAAATGCGCTGGGACGTTTTAATAACGGGCAATAGAAGCGTTGATTTATCAGAACTAATGTGTGACACGTATTTCTATAAATAGAACAGTTGAAAATACATCACTAATTTGTCTTTTATTGAATGTTATTGAATGCAAGGCGGCACGAGTATTTGCAGGTTGATGCTGTTTGTTTTTGATTTAAAATAAGTTTGGCACTGATTCGTCAGTTTATTTCTGTTTACCTTAAAAAAAAAAGAAATGATTTTATCAATTCATAAAGTCAATCATATTGCAGTACTTCTCAATCTATAATATGTGTGTGTTGGCGGAAATTTGCCAATTCTTTATATAAATGATAAATTTAGAAAAGTGGAGACCAAAATCTGAATATCGCGACCGATTAGATAACCGTGCGAAGCAGGGGTGGACGGCTAGTATTAAAATAAAACAGGATTTTATATGTATATGACAATGCAGTTGGATTTGTACTATATTCAGTAGCGTTTTGATATAATTCATACAATGTAATGAAACTTTGTTTGATTACTGATAGTATCAGAGCCATAAAACAAATACAAATTCAAGATCAAACTAGACACGTTTATGGTTTGACGTAGATATGCTAATATACAGTTTACCAGGATTTAAATTGAAAAAAAGTGTCTTTCTTGTTGAATAAAAATTTATTTTTCATATTAATAAATAAAGTAATTTTAAATATAATAATTATTGTTACTTTTAACCCTTAATTCGACGTTGTGCAGTATACTTCACATTGAATAAAAAAAAAATTACTTCAAAAATTAGACCGTGTATCCAGAACCAACATACTATAATTGCATCCAGAACTATTTACCTACGTAGTCAAAAATCAACAACGCGTTCACATCGACGAAACGCGACCAGTCGCCGGCGAGATGGCGGGGAGGAAGGACTCGCTGCGCGGGCTTTCGGTAAGTTACGTTGTATTTATTTTTTAACGGTTTATTTTCTTATAATATCATTGAAAACTAAAGATAACATATATTGGAATCTACTCATAATATTTTGATTATGTTACTTACTTTTATTTAGTTTTTACAACGCCAACAACTTGTATGTCTAGTATACTTCCCGTCATCGAAGTACTAGTAAAGTAACTGCAAAATCGTATGTCCAGTATTCTTCCCTTCGTCAAATTAGTAGAAAATGAAATACAAAATCGTATGTCTAGTATTCTTCCCATTGCCGTGTTATTAGACACGTAAGCACTGTTGTATCTCGAAAATATATTTTTAGGGATCAGTAGATAAAATGTCTTACACCTTATTACTTTTTGTTTTTCAGAGCTTCAAGTCAAGAGGACATCGTTTAGTAGGATTGGTCCCACCTGAAAATGCACCATCAGATATAGACAGTAGGTCTGAACCTGAAAACGAAGAGGAAATCGCTGTTTATAGAACTGAAGAGTTATCCTCCTCACCCTGCCCTTCCATTGATTCAGACATAGAACGCATGCATATCTTAGACAGCTCCCATACGTCAGAGGACCATATTAGCGTTAATGGCAGTGAGAACAATCCTGTGTCAGAATTTGAAGACAACTTGAACCAAGCGCAACCTCCGTTGACTCCTATTATTAACAACGTGCTACCACCGACTGGTGAAGTAAATTTTAATGCTTTACCAAGTTTGGCCTCATTACTTTCAATTCCATCATCAGCTGCTTCGTCCATTGCTAGTACATCAATTCGAATCCGAATTCAGATACAGCAAAGTGGCTGACGTTATGCCATTGAAACGATTCGAGCAGATTCGACGCAACTTGCACTTTGTGGACAACGTCAACTCAGATGAGGACAGATATTACAAGATACGACCCTTCATTGAAAAAATAAGAAGAAACTGCCTTGCAACGGAAGAAGAAATGAATTACAGCATAGATGATATGACTATACCATATAAAGGTACTAAAGCAGGAAATCGGAGAAAGTATAACCCCATGAAACCTGATAAATGGGGTTTCAAGAACGTAGTACGCGCTGGTGCGTCTGGAATCGTCTATGACTTTTTATTGTACAGCGGCGATGACACTTTTCGCTATATCGCTTTTACCGATGAGGAAGAGCAAATGACATTGGGTGCTAAAATGGTGTTAGCCCTTAGTAAAACAATTCAAACTCCAGGATGTGCTGTTTATTTCGATAATTATTTCACAACGCTCGACCTGATTTGGTATCTACGTGAACACATGGGGATTTTCAGTCTCGGAACTATACGGCAAAACAGACTGAAAGGTTGCAAGGGTCTCCTAAGTGACAAAGAACTGAAAAAAAGAGGCAGGGGTTCATTTAGCCAAGTCGTAGACAACGACAAAAAGATCGCCATTGTAAAATGGTACGACAATAAAGTTGTGACTTTGGCCTGTTCTTATGCAGATGCTTACCCAGTTCATGAAATCAAAAGATGGAGTAAAGAACAGAAACAGAAAATTGGTGTCACATGTCCGCAGTTAGTACGACACTATAATCAACATATGGGAGGTGTTGACCTGTGCGATATGTTGATAGCTTTGTACAGAACATCTTTTAAAAGCCGTCGTTGGTACATGAACATCTTTGGCCAAATGTTAGATATAGCGGTTAACAATGTCTGGCTACTCTACAGGCGAAATTGTAATATGAAAAGCCTGAAAAACATAAGTCTAAAAAAGTTTAGACAGAAGTTGGCAGTCGAATTGAGGCAAATGGGAAGATCAAATGAAACAGACGCACCAAGCCCTGTACCGAAGAAAACACTAATTCAAAACCCAAGTGCACCGAGGCCCCCAGAGTCTGTGCGTTATGATGGCATCAACCACTGGCCTGAATATACGACATATGGACGTTGTAAGTTTTGTAAGAACAACAAAACGAACATGCATTGTTCTAAATGCAAGCAGAGATTGTGCCTAGTGACCAAAAGAAATTGCTTTTATAATTTCCACAAAAAAAAGGTGGGTAGACGAGTGCCCAAACATTTATCTCGACTGATATTTTTTATACTTTAAGAACTAGAAGACTGATTATTTTTGAATAAGATAATTGTTAATTATTATAAGAAGAATTTTAAAGACATTTTATATTATGTTCAAAACATATGTGATTTTTTTCGTTTCTATAAGGTTTCAGAGTTCCTATTAATGTTTTAATCATAAGACATGTAACAATAAGACTATTTTTTTTAAATATAACGAATATTTTTCTACGGAATCACTATTTTTTTTTTATTCTATCTCTTTGATAATGGGAAGTATACTGCACACAGTTAGAGTATATCTGTTTCTTATGAACTTGATGATGTCCATTATAGTGGACGTCGATTTTTCAGGAAACTGAAGTCGGTAAATTTTTTCAGATATTTTTTCTACGATCCCGTACAAGCTAAGAAACAAAATTTGTAACAATTTCATTAATTTAATAAAAAAAAACTTCTGTCGAATTAAGGGTTAATCTCTTTTATATTGAATGATAATTTGTGCTTTAATTTAGTCCAGTCCACAACAGGCTTAGCAATTAATGTTAAAATTTACTAGTAGAAGGGGACAGCCCTATGTCTTACACAAAGCTAGATTCCAGGCTTACTACTTTTTACAAATAATTCCTAAAACTAAACTTGGGTCTAAAGTAAGAGCCCTTGCTCTAAGTAGACAAATAACTAACCATATCAAAATGAATCGACATAGATACTCACCCCAAATCCATGGATATCCGAGCAGTTGATTCAAGCAGACTGCGAGGGTCACAACTTCAGCTGTCCAGGGTAGCACCCCTAGCGCAGCCACCTGCTTCCAGTTGTTCTTCATATAGGTCAAGTTCCAGCCCAGAGACCCTTTGCCCAGAATTATGAATGGGTATATTTTTCTGAAACAATATGGAATATTGCAGTTATTTAATCTTTTATAGAATGAAAAGAGAGAAGGCATTATGATTTATGTATCTTTATAGTTAAATTAAAGTTAAAAAACCTGGTCAAAATTATAGATTTGTTTTGAGGGTGGATTCTGGGTTCAAAATATTAGATAGGATTTAATTTCGTGGCGCGATACCAATTAAACTTAATTATTTTTGAATTAGCGGGATTATTATGGGGCTAAAAATAATGTGTAAATGTTACGACTAAGAACCGAAGAGATTCTAATTTATAACTATTTGTTTTTGGTCTGTTACTGTTATGTAAGTCATTTTATTGTAAATCAATTACCTCATAAAACTGTCTAATTCAGTGTAGTGTCTCATATCCAGGTACCCGATGTTTCTTGCTATGATGCCAGTGAGCAAGGCTGCCAGTAAAGGTGGGAGTGTGGTGGTCATCTGCAGAAGTTCTCCAGTAGCCCACGCTATAGCCACCACCACGGCTGGCTTGAACCATCGACCGTTCCAACTCCATTCGTCTCCGAAGGCACACCAAAGTACCGCCCATGATGCTAATCCTTTATTGCAAGGAAGGACATAGTAACATCAATACATTACAGTCTTCTTTTTACGATTACCTGATGGTAAGCAATCCGCCCATGGACACGCGCTACAACGGAGGAGTTACGAGTACGTTGCGTTTTGGGGATTAGTGATTTTTTGGAGATTGGATTGATGATTTCTAACTTAAGACTAATTCCTAATCCTCAAACCCCTAAATAAAAAGACCGAAACACACTTGCAGCTTCAGTGTTGTGGGTGTCCTTGGGCGACTGATTGCTTTGCAACCCTTGATCGTATCTAGCAATTGAACTCAAGCCACGTTGCTTGGCGGTCACGTTTACGATCACGATATTTACGATAAAGCAGTCGACATAACAGAAATGTTTAAACATCAATATAATTTATTGACATTATAGGTATATAGCAATGTTTGCTGGCATACCCTGATAAATTAAAAAGTTGTAAGCTTCTGGCAACTTGTTACTGCGGCGTTGATACGGATTAACGCGGAATACAATTGACTATCGACGTCGACGTGCCTAACTATAACAGGCAATTTTCTAAAATGGTTTACAAAGCGCACTAATTGAGCTTCGATATCGACTCATATTAGTTATTAATTTTATATATATTTTTCGATAAATTTCCGCGTCGAAGAACACACATTTTTTGGACATTTATTAGTAGTTAGTAACTCGTATCAATTAAGTGTTGATGTAATTTTTTATGTTTTGTCACAAAAGCGATGGATATATGCGTTTCAGCGAAATCTACTCACTATACAAACACGTAATATTCGGTTAATCAAATATAAACCTTGTGTACACACAATTATAGAAGTAATTAGTTTGTGTGGTTGTAATCTATTTGGATTGAAATCGAAAGTTCTTTTCATATGTTTTACTCACTTATTATTGTGTTCACAAAATGTCATGTGAGATCTTAACAAATACTTAGGTATTATAAATATTATCTAGACTGACGTAAAACTTGGCGTATTCCCGTTATGTTGACTGAGATGTATATTACATCTTATGGAGAATGCTAGTAGAAATGTAATGAGACGTAATGGCGACGATTGTATGTTTGGTTTCTATGAAGTGTCAGGCAAAGTAGCCGACTGATCACCTAATGGAAAGTAATCAGGGCCGCCTATAGACAACCGCAACACTCGAAGAGTCACACGGGCGTTACCGGTTTATAATTCATCAAACCCCAAATGAACGCCAGCGTTCGCGGCCTATGAACACCCAGTTTTTCTATTGTGTATAGAATTACCACGATGGAAAGGTTAAGAAAGAGTTCGTATACATATATTTCTTTGAGGTTTGTAGGAACACATATACACACGGCAGAAAGTTTGGCGTAAAATACATAGTTGTTGTCTACCGATCGATATTATAGGAATGGAAGTAAAAATAACATATCAAATTATTGTCAAAAGTTTTCATTGTAAACATAATTTTACGCAAAAAACCGCGGCAAATTTAATACATGACCTGAAGAACTTCAACCTGAAGAACATCTTCCTGATAAATACCTATACAAGCGTACAGTTTTATATAATTCGTATAATGTATACGTTACTAGATTTTGGGTAAATTAAACCCTAACTGATTTGTAAGAATTTCTGAAGTTTTGTGCCAACCACAAAATATGTCTTACAAGATTTAGGGCCTGTTTAATTACCCTCATATAAGTCCCCGACAGTTTTCATACAAATTACGTTCGATATTAAAATTTATCTGAATTTAGTTAAAATGCTTATTAGTTAAATAAATGAACAGGGGCAAGAAGTATTATAACCTTCTTTGCGATACTATGCCAGTAAGGATTTGTGTAAGGAGTTCTGTTTAAGTATTTACAATAAAGTTTTTTTGTAATAGATTGAATACTGTTTAAAAATTCCTTATTATGCATTTTTTGTACTTATATTGTTAAATTAACAACCAATTTTGATAGAATGTGTTGTATTCACAATCACTACCATAAAATGTTGTATTGTGTCCCTATTAATATCACTTTTATGCACTTATCGAAAAGATTAATTCAAGTAAAAACTAATTTAAAACCACACATTAAATATGCTAACGACCTCCAATTATTTTCAGTTGGTTGGAAAACACAAAGATTCAAACAAAATACGATTTTGTTTAAATATAGTAAATCAGTATAGTACTTACCTAGGAATACTATAGTCAAGTAATGCAAGCCGGTCCTGGTGGCAGCTGTACAAGAATTATTTTCTTTTTTATCATCATCGAAAACGTTCTTCTGAGAACTGTAATTGAATGTTAATTCGGGCGTTCTGAAAATAGACGAGAAAATTGTAGTATTTATTTCGAAATATTTAATTATTTGTCAGATTGATTTTTGTTTAATTAATCGCGAGCACTCACACGGAATCTCTCATTGCTATACCTTGGCGGTTCATTGAAGTTACTAATAAAGAATCGTCTTCGTTCATTCTGTTAAATACAGTAGAGAGTAATGAGAGGTGCGCATACTAAAATGTACTCACTTACGTTTTAAAGTCTTCGTTGTGTATAATATAGACACCCTTATCAACGGCAGTAGGTGTGTTTTTATCTGAAAATTAATCATCTCATGTTTATTTAAGATCATAAATTGTTTATTCAACATTTTATTTCAGCTACTGGTTGTCGGAAATTTTATTATTTAATTATAAAATTGTTTCGTTCAATTTGTTGGAAGTATTTCTTTTTATATAAAGTTTAAAAAAAAATGCATAGATAACGAAGCCAAGACCTCTTTTTACACGGAGAAGGTTTGAACATTAATCGCCACGCTTGCTTATGGAGCGTTAGCGATTAGGCTTATAATAATTAGAAATTAACATTTTTGTTATAAGAAATATTAAGTATGTTTCGCTCTCGGCCCATCACAACGTGGTGGACGTTACAATAGTTTACTTAAGAACAGAAATTAATTAAGTAGTGAATCTCATCGGATTGTGTATTTAATCTTGATTTTTAAGACAAGGCGTTTGAGTTAATTAATGTAAGATAAAGCCTTGCTCTAGGGATTCCAGTTAAGATGGTCGTTAATGTATGTCAAAACTAAAGAGCCGTGGCGTAATAAAAAAGAAATCCCCATACTAGGATTTTCTCATGTGTCTCGGGTGCTTCTGCAAAGATTTTTTCACATACTTATATCACACACAGACCCGCAACAAGATTTTAGGGATCAGTCAACGAGTTGTTCTGTGCAGGATTCGAAAAAGTTTTATTTTAATATTTGTCATTATAATAGTGATTTGTTTGCTGGTGTACAGCATTATATTTCGTTCAATCTTCGGGAGGATAAGGATACTGAAACATAAGCGTTTGTACAAAATCTTATAAGGGTTCGGTATCCAAATGATAAAACGGGAACCTTATTACCAAGACTTCGTTGGCCTTCTGCGTGTATGATATCAGCTGTATCTTATGAACTGCTGGACTCGACTTTACCCGATCTTCATCAAAAATAGTTGAAGAACACATAATGAATTCAATATAGCCAAGAAAAATATAGGTAAGATAGGTATGTACATGTATATTCTCGTATTTATAATGTGACGGAAAAGTGGTTCAAACTCTTTGTCATCATGACGTCAATGGATGGTTGTCAAACGTTGCCTAGAGGTTGTAAATTTCGTCGTGAATTGTCAACACGAGTTGGTGTAATCGGCAAGGCGTGTGGATTACACCACAGAGACCCCGAGTTCGAGTCCCGCCGTAAACATGAAGTTTTTTAGTTGATGGAAGTTTTGTCGAACTTTCTGGAATTATTTGTGTAAAAGAAATGAAAAATTAAAGAGCGAGAAGGAGAATAAATAAAAATGAATAACGAAATTATTGGAAGGTTCTGGAGGCATGACGATCAAAAAGAATAACGAAATTGAATGTTCCAGAACCTGACCGGGGGTATATAAGCGGAACTGCGGCTCACCGCTGGCAGTTGAGTTCTAAGTCTAAAGCGATTCGGAAGAAAAGGAAGAAGTGAAAAAGAAGAAAAGTGAGTGAAATAGTGAAGTGCAGTGAAATAGTGAAGTGCAGTCAGTTAAGTGAGTTAAGTCAGCGTGAACGGCAAAGTTGTGTCAGTCGGCCGGACTCTGCTGTTAAGTGCAATAGAAAGTCTGAAAACCGGTATTAGTGTTTCATTTCACCCAATCCCGTAACCCAAGCCCGCATAGTCAGGAACGTGACGTCAGGCACGTAACATTTGGTGTCAGAAGTGGGATTGGAGAAAAATGCCGCTAGTACCGCAGGACGTAAGAGGAGTGAGTACCCGTTCAATGTCAGAAGCGCAGCGTGTGAGGGAAGAGGGTGCTGCAGCTCAAACCAGCGATGCAGAAGCCAAGCCTGTGCAGGTGGATCTTCTGCTACAGCTGCAGCAAATGATGGCAGAGCAAGCGCGCCGCCAAGAAGAGCAAGCGCGCCGCCAAGAAGAGCAAGCGCGCCGCCAAGAAGAGCAAGCGCGCTGTCAGGCAGAACAGCTGCGGGAGCTGAAAGAAGAGCAAGCGCGCCGCCAAGAAGAGCAAGCGCGCCGCCAAGAAGAGCAAGCGCGCCGCCAAGAAGAGCAAGCACGCTGTCAGGCAGAACAGCTTCGGGAGCTGAAAGAAGATCAAGCTCGTCGCCAAGAGGATCAAGCTCGCCGCCAAGAGGAGCAAGCGCGTCGCTTGGAAGAGATGCATAAGGATTTCACGAAGGGACTGCAAAAGGCTGTCGAACGGGTACAAGAAGTAGAGGAAGGGTTAGGCAAGTTGGAACATCGCGTCATGGCGATAGAGGAGAGAGTGGAAGAAGAGATCGCCAAAATCAAGCAGGAAGTGACAAGCCCAAGCCCTTTGAAGAGCCGAAGCCGTCTTGCAGCCGTTTTTGACACCCCAAATGTGGCCTCAAGCGCAACGAAAGGGCTCAAGATTCCCCATTACGACGGAACAACATCCTGGACCGCGTTCAAGCTACAGTTTGAGACACTTATGGAGGCTTATGGTTGGACTCAGAAGGAAGCACAGTCAGCCCTCACCCTGGCCCTCCGTGATCAAGCGCTCTCAGTGCTGGAAGCTATCGGCGCAAGTGGGGATCTCAGCTTTAGTGCCCTCCTCGACGCACTTGAGGCACGTTTTGGAGACAGCCACCTCGAGCACGTGTACAGAGCGCAATTAAAAGAGCGTACTCAGCGTGCTAATGAGAGTCTACAGCAATGGTCCGTGGAAATCGAGAAACTTGTGCGTCGAGCTTTCCGGTCGACTCCGTCAATGATTGAAGGCACGCTTCTCCAAGCATTCATTGACGGTGTTCGGGACCCCGAAGTACGAGCTGCTGTTCATCTGGGCCATCACAAGAACATGAAAGAAGCTCTGGCTCATGCATTGGAAGTGGAAGCCGTGCGTGGTAACTCCCGTACCTTACGTCTGCGGGAAATGACGACAACGGAGCAGGTACCTCCACGCCGTCGGAACTTCATGTGCTATGGATGCGGAGAGCGTGGGCACATGCGTAGTAACTGCCCGAAGAAGGTGAACCGCCAGGACGCGGCGGTCTCAACTTCTGACCAGCAGGGAAACTAAATCCAGCCAGGGCTGCGGGGTGGGCGCTGGCCGGTAGTGGAACAACCCCAACAATCTACATCAAGCAAACTAACGATGGAAATACTCTGGTGATAGACGGTCAAGTAAATGGGAAAAACAGTCAGCTAACATTAGATACTGGAGCTTCAAGGACGGTGATAAATGTTCGGCTGCTCGGGCAAAACATCAGGAAACACCTTAAACCAATTGTCGGCCTACGAATGAAATCAGCTACCGGCCAGTGCATACCGATAAGTGGAAAACTGCAGGTAACGATCAAAATTGGGGAACGTGTTTATCGACATGAGGTTATTGTGGCCGAAATTCTGGATGACTGCATCCTGGGACTTGACTTCCTGCGAGGGCACCAGTGTAACATCGACTTAAAATTTGGAGTTTTACTATGTGGAACTGAGGAAATTCCGATGAAGGGTGGAACCCTGGGAAAAGTTTGCTGTTTAAGAAGAACTGTTCTTGCACCAAAATCACAGACTCTCGTACCAATCGCATTACCTAGGAGGAAGGAAGGAAGTTTACCTCGAAGGTGCGCTGTGATTGATAAATCGGAACACGTAAGCTCATGGCTACCGGCAAGAACTGTCGTGGGGTCATCTGATGTCAACCGCATTCCGGTATTCAACTTCAGTGATTCAAAAATTACGATTGAAGAAGGAGAGCCTGTGGGCGTATTGGAAGAAGTGGCCTGGATAAGAAAATGCTCGGAGAATCTTGTGAAGAAGGACAGTACGGGAATAGACTTTGTAACGAAAATCTTAGACGAAAACAAAAGGCTGACAAAAGTGGAGACTATGAAAGCTAGAAATTTACTTCTTCGATTCTCTGATGTGTTTTCAAGAAGCGATGGTGATATTGGCCGAACTGGTTTGGTGAAGCATAAAATAAACACAGGTGATACAATGCCAATTCGTCAAAGGCCCAGACGTATACCATTCGCTCGTGAGAAAGAGGTTGAAGAAATGATTGACGATATGAGGAAAAATGACGTGATAGAGCCCTCTTCTAGCCCTTGGTGTTCACCTGTCGTGCTTGTCAAGAAGAAAGATGGTTCAACGAGGTTTTGCGTAGACTATCGACGATTGAATGATGTAACCAAGAAGGATAGCTACCCGCTACCAAGAATCGATGACACACTTGACACACTGAGTGGCATGAAATGGTTTTCAACGCTCGATCTGAAAAGCGGCTATTGGCAGGTGGATTTGGATCCCAAGGACAAGGAAAAGACCGCATTCTCAACTGGGAAGGGACTCTGGCAATTTAAGGTGATGCCATTTGGATTATGCAATGCACCGGCAACCTTTGAGCGTTTGATGGAACAGGTGCTGGCGGGACTGCTGGGCGAAACCTGCCTAGTTTACCTCGATGACATCATCATTGTTGGACGGGATTTTGACGATCATCTAAGGAAATTGGAAAAGGTACTCGACAAGCTGCGTGGAGCAAATTTAAAGTTGAGTCCAAAGAAATGCTCTTTCTTCAAGCGCGAAGTGAATTATCTAGGACATGTTATTTCTGAGAGAGGAATTGAGACTGATCCAGCCAAGACTGCCGCTGTTAAGGAATGGCCAACACCTAAAGACAAAACGCAAGTTCGGGCATTTCTTGGATTGTGCTCGTATTATCGGCGGTTTGTGAAAGGATTCTCGGACATTGCCAAGCCATTGCATCGATTGACAGAGGAGAAACGTACCTTTATCTGGGGCGAGGATTGTGAGCAAGCCTTTCGAGAACTAAAAGAACGGCTTTGTAACACACCAATTCTCGGATACCCCAGTGCGAAAGGAATATTCGTAGTTGATACGGATGCCAGCAATATTGGAATAGGAGGTGTCCTTTCACAACGCGATGGTGAGCAGGAGAAGGTTATTGCTTACTTCAGCAAGTCACTATCCAAGTCGGAGAGGAATTATTGCGTGACCAGGAGGGAATTGCTGGCCGTAGT